TTTGATGTTTTCAATACATCAGGGGGGGTAAACGATACATTTATCATAGTACAGGGGTGCAAAATGAACTTTACCCTAATTAATATAGTGAGATTTTTTACTCAAAAAGAAATATATAGTGAGATTTTATATAAAAATTCTCCCAAAGGCCCAAAACATGCATATTCTATCAACCAGCTACGCCGTTAAATTGGGCTTCCGCTTAGTTGAATTTGTCTTGAAATTATTGGGCCTGATTAATATTTGAAGGAAGTTAGGCCCATTAGTAATTTCTTACCGAATATTGAAATTAATATAATCGTGACAAAATTCTATTAATTTAACAAAATATTAAGTATCGAACAAGTAATTTAATTTATTTTTACCGAATCGGGACTGGAAGAAATTATTATTCAAGCGAAATTATTAATTCATTTAGTAATTACTGTATATTGACACATCTATACCTCAAGCCAATAACAACCGCATTTAACGATCGGAATTCGATTTCCAATGCCAATTTTTTGTGTGGTTGAGCTCATTGCATATAGTGTGCTAGTATTGTGTAATGTGTGAGCTTTTACATGAAAAAGAGATTTATCCAATACACACCCGTAGGTTGTGACTGTACTTCATCGTTTGTCAAAAAAGGGATACAAACGGAATAAATAGAAAATTGAAAATCAAGTTTTTGTTCTCTGCATATTGATCAACAATGAGTCTATATACAGTAGGGGAGCCAGCATAGGGTCAGAAGGGGAAATGGACCCCCACATTTTCTTTTGAGAAAAAGTTGAGAGCCAATTGAAGATTTTCCTTTATTTGCTCAAATACTACAACTGTTGTAGTAGCTGCGCATATCCTCAAACAGTATTTACAAATTCCCATTTAAATTATTTAATATAATAAATAATAAAAAAATAAAAAAAAATTCAAAGATGAACCTATACTTATCATGGTGAGAATTCAATCTAGCTACTATTCTATGTATCACATCATCATCTCTTTAATTTGTATGTGAAAGAGATAGAAACACCGATCTTGCGCGTGCATGCAATGACGACAAAGTCGAATGAGTATAAATTGGAGTATTGTGAATTATTTGCGAGTCGTGTTTAGTCTCTGAAAGCTCGATAATTGTCTGTAATAATGCAATCATATATTTATTTATACGATACAGAGGCACGATGAGACAGTTTTTAGAAGAAAAAAAAAGTCTCTAGTGCCTTGTCAAATCATGATCTTTATAATTATTTCTGTAAGCATTGATAAAAAGAACAATTCCTGAAAAAAAAGGAGAAAGAGAAAGAAAAAATGGAGCACCCCTTGTTTTATGGTTGCATGTAGACAATGACTAAATCCAATGTATCAAGAAGAGGGAGAAGAAAAAGCAAAAAAAACCCTCTACTTAGCTTCCCCTATATTTTGAAATTAAACCATAATATATTAATTTTATGAAGTATAATTCCTCCGATTCCATGTTGTTTGGCTAAATTGATAAGCTGTTAAAAGAGCTTATAAGTTTTTCCAAAATATTTGGTATTTTTTTAATAGATCTTTATAAAAATTTCAAAAATAAATTGTTGGATAGCAAATAATAAGATCTTATAATTAGTAAAATAGTTTATAACATCATTATTCAAACACTGTAAAAATTAATTCTAATAATAAAATAGTAACAACTTATCAACGTCTTACCATATATAAAAGATTGTCAACTGTTTAAAATAAGTTCAGCCAAACAGATGGAGCATAATAATTGATTCCCTCATATAGTCTATAAATATGGTGTGTACCCAACACATTAAATTAATTCATCATCCACACACATCCAAGAAATAACATATATAATCTACAATAATATATATACATACACACACAATATATATATAGTGGCAATTAAGTAAGTAAAATGTTGTCATCAACAACAGATCTGCAGCCACTGGTAATTAGCAAAGTGATTGATGAAGTAGTTGATAACTTCACCACGACTGTGAAAATGTCTGTGATGTACAAGTCAAACCAGCGGGTCAACAATGGCCATGAACTCTTCCCTTCCACACTCACCTCTAAACCTAGGGTTGTGGTTCATGGTGGTGATATGAAAACATTTTATACCCTGGTAATTAATTTATTATAATTAATCACTAATTAACTAATATACTTTTATTTAAAAAAAAAAAAACTATTTTTAAATGATATATATGTTTTTATATTTAATTAATTCAGATAATGACGACCCCGATGCACCTGGTCCAAGTGATCCATACCTGAGGGAGCACTTGCACTGGTAAGCTTCGCCGTCTTTAGTCATTTCTGTCAATTGTCCGACGGAATCAAACGTGTTTTCATCACTACCGTAACTGACGGACTAACGATCAATTGATGTAAACGACTCCTTATGTCATATTATTGATATATGAGTGACCAAATGTGTTTATTTGTGAATATGAGGGGCCACATGTGATATTGGAGAATACTTGAGGGGTGATAACTGTAAATATCCCATTAATTAATTAATATATAAACTGAATTAATATATAAATTAAATGACAGGATAATCACAGATATTCCAGGCACAACTGATTCCTCATACGGTACGCGCAACATTTATTGATATTTAAATATATAAAAATCCATTATCTCTAATTAATATAATTAATATAAAAATTATTCTGCATATATATCATATATGCATACAATACATACGTACAGGGAAAGAAGTAGTGAGCTACGAAATGCCGAGGCCAAACATAGGGATACATAGAATCGTGTTTGTGTTGTTCAAGCAGAAGAAGAAGCGACTTTGCCACGTCATCACTCCACCACCATGCAGGGATGGTTTTAAGACAAGATTATTTGCTGACCAATACGAGTTAGGCTTACCAGTTGCCGCCGTCTTCTTTAACTGCCAGCGCGAATCCGCCGCCAGGAGGCGCTGATATATGATCATGGAATATTCCGTTTTGCATGTAGATTCTCCGTCAGCCTTTTCCAATAAGGATGTTTGTACCTATTAATTAATTAAATTAATTAAATATGGGTAAAATTCAACTGTTATCTCTGACTGGAGACCAATCCCCAAGCATACATTACTTGTCATAGATACAGTTGAATAAGTACTACTTGTACTGCATCTGTTAGAGAGCATAAAAAAAATCTGCCACTTGTCAAAATTTAACTCGATCATCATCATTATTTTCGGAATTAATTAATTAATTAATTAATTGGAAAATAATGAGATAGTGCATGTATTGAAACATTTTTTTATCATGTTGAAAGATATATATGTTTTTATGAATAATTAATTAACTAATGACAACATGGCTAATATATATATATATATATATATATATATATATATATATATATATATATATATATAGGTATAGCTATATATATAGTTTGTACTACCATTAATTAAACAATCAAAGGTGATGAGAAAATAGTGTATTTTTTTTACATAATTACATTAACTTTAAAATGACAAGGTGTTGCGTGTTGCATCGACTTTGCTCACATGCTTGCTACCAACTAAAAAAATTATTCGTTATAATTTCAATTTTATGTTACATCAAATTAGATGAATCTATCACATCTTCAAACTAATACTTTTCCCTTATTATGTTAACTTTATTTTAACTTAACTTCTGTTGTGTAAATTTGCCATGTTCTAGTAAACAATGATTTTTTTCAGCATTTTTATGAAAAGGATATTTTTTTTCTTTTTAAATATTTACGTTATTACAAAAAGGGAAAATAAGTGGGCCCATTTAAAATCCAACTTTGACCCAGCCCATAACCAAAACAGTCCTTATTTTGAGAACTGAGTTTTTTTTTTTTTTCTTTTTTTTCCTTTCTTTCTTTTCTCTCTCTGTAAATCTGTAAATCGAAAGATTAAAACTTTATTTACTTTTTTCCCTCGCAATTGAGAGGTTTTTGTCCAAAGATGGTGGGGAAGCGATTCCGAATTGATAGGAAACTTCAACCCAAGAAGGTGAGCTCACAGAAAAGCTATGGCCTTCTTTTTTTTTTTTTTTTTTTTTTTTTTTTTTTTATCTATCTGTAAATCGAAAGATTAAAACTTTATTATTTTTTCTCTCATGCTATATATATAGGGTTTTTTGCAAAAACTACCCCTGTAAAATCTCTAATTGCTGAAAACGCCCCTATGTTAAAAAAATTAGCAAGGAACCCCCTATGTAACTTATTCAAAGCCAAAAAAGCCCCTAACAGGTTATCGTGCGCTACACTCGCCGTATGTGCGTCTGGGGTGCGTTTTCGAACCTGAAATAACCTAAATACCCTTTAGATTAGATGTTTTTATAATTACAAATTCATCCCAAAATTTTCTGCACCAAACTGAACTTTTTAATTCCTATTTTCAGAAATGCCATCTTCCTTTTCTGAATCTTTTTCCAGCAAAAACCATCAACCGAACCCATATCCTCAAGCTCATTTTTGTTGAAAATCCAGAAAAAATAAAAAGGGAAGAAGACATAGCCTTTTAGTCATTTTTTTCATGTAAAAGATCGGAAGGAAAAGTTTCGATTTTGACATCAACTTCACCATTCTTGATAACCCAAAACTTGGTATTCACCATTCTCGATAACCCAAAGCTCACTGCTGATGGAGAAGAGAGCCTTGGGGCAACGGCGCGAGCTATCAAGAATATGAATGTCTTTGTTGTTTCTTTAAGGAGAATTTGGCCGAATTTGTTCGATTTTGTGTGTCTAGTGTTATTTCTTTGGCAGAATTTGTTGTCAGAAGATGAGTAAAATGGAAGAGAAAATCAACTGGTTTGAAGTGGTGGTGCGGCGGCGGGTGTTGTGGTGCGGCGGCGGGTGTTGCATGAAAAGTTGCTGGGTTGGGATGAGGGGTCATAGGAAGAAGATAGAGTCCATTTTTTTTATTTTTTCTTTTATTTTTTTATATTAATTAATATTTTCTTTTATTTTGTTTGATCAAAATTAAAATATTAGTCAAAAATAAGTAGGGGCATTAGAGTCATTGCACGTAAGTCAACAACTATTTTTTAAATAAGGGGCTGTGTGCTTTTTAAAATAAAACATAGGGGGTTTTTTGTTAATTTTTAAAACATAAGGACTTTTTTAACAATTACAAATAACACAGGGGGGTCTGTGCTATTAGCTCTATATATATATATATATATGTTGTAGGTATGAAGGTAGAAACTGAACCCATGGTTCTGTTCCCTGATGTGTTTTATTCAAGCTCTGATTCTTGTTTTTCCCCTTCAATTGCAACTCGCAATTTTAATGTTATGTTGTGATTTTTTTGTAGATCGATAGAATCTTCAATTTGTAACTAGCATTTGTTCTTTTTAGTTCTGAAAAGATTTTAATTTGTTTAATAGTGCGCCAAGAGATGCTACGTTGTTGTTGATAATGATCGGATAAGTCGATTGCCGGACGATATTCTCGTCACGATCCTATCGTTTCTACCGGTCAAACAAGCTGCACGCACTAGCGTTCTTTCGTCTCGTTGGATAAACTTGTGGAAGCACATCTCGCGCCTCGATTTCGATGCAGAAAGCGCATTGGTCAAGATTGCAATAGACTACAACCTACACAGTGAAGAGAGTTGCAAGTACGTAGAGTGGGTGAATCGCGTGATCCAATCGCACAAAGCGGAAACCTTGAAAGAATTCAGAGTATGCTTCGATTTAAGCCCATCTGCCGAGAATGCAATCACGCAGTGGCTTGAATTCGCGCTTCTGAGGCATGTTGAGAAGTTGGATTTGGATGTTTCAGCCGGATCTTTAAGAGTATACACCCGGGATTATGCTTTCCCGGAGAAGTTCCTGAAACCCCGTTCACAAAGTTCTTCGTGTATCGACTTTAAGTCCCTCAAAGCTTTGTCTTTGAAGTGTGTTAAATTGAGCGGCGAAGCGATCGAGTTCTTTCTGCGCAACTGCCCTTTCCTAGAAAAACTTGTTCTTCGTAACGTAAATGGGATATCAAATCTCGAAGTTTGTGGTCCGTCCCTTGCTTTAAAACACTTGGAGATATGGTTTTGCGCCAAATTGAAATCCGTTAGGGTTTCTGGCCCGAATCTTACTTCATTTTATAGTTCGCATGTTGAAGTTCTCTTGCTCGAGAATGTTCCGATGCTTGTCGAGTTACATGTTAATTGTATGCCTTATTCTGTCTCTATTCAAAGATTACTTTCTCCTGCACTTTCATCCGTCGTTTCCCGACTGGAAATTCTTAGCTTGGACATATACGCGTACATAAAGGTTTGATAATGGAGTCTGCGCTCGTTAGTTCTTTCGGTTTTATTTACTCATAACAATTTTACACCTTGCAGGAAATTAATCTACCCACGTTTCCTGAACTGCCTAAGCTGAAGAAGTTGGTCATACAATATTGGGCAACAGAAGACAAAAGTCTTATGGGACTGACCCCATTGATAAGGGCACCTCCCTACTTGGAGGAATTTGTATTAAAGGTATGTTTGTTGTTATTTTCTTTCGCTTGCTCGATATCAACGTATATAAGAAAAAATAAATGCATACCCCATCTTCCATTTGCAGTTAATGTCGTCTTATCCCCGAAAATCGAGAACCCCGAAACCTCAGAGGTTAGATAGGAAAGGGAAAGTAAAAAAGAATATAAAGTTTCCCCCTAAAGTGGTCAAGTTTTGTGGCTATTACGGTCACGCGGGTGATGTTGAATTCGTCGAATACATTTTAGAGAATTGTGTGGCGCTTGAGAAATTAATTATTGGTCCACGTTCACATTCTCCATTATCATTTCACGGTAGACGGCCTGAGCAAACAGTCCTGGAACAAGCTGCAAGGGATTTTGCCAAGCATCTTAAATCAAGAGTACCTCAACACATTGAATTCGTCATTCTTTAACTTATTAATAATATGTATGCATCAGTATAATAATTATCCGAGTCCGTTTTTATCGAACGCTTCTTGAATGAGTGATCTTAGCTTTGGGAATCTGATATATAGGGATGGGGCATGGCTCGGGTTGGTCAATTATCGGTCAATTACCTATCTTATCCGACCACCCAATCTTGTTGAATATTGAAATTCATTATATGCCCGACTAATTAATATAATGGTTGGTAACCAACTTTATTGGGTAAAAAATGGTCGATTAGTTGGTATTATCGACCATCTATTTATTGGAAAAAAATATGGGGTTGGACATTTGGGCCTACACATATTATGGGCCTTTATTGGACTTTGTATAAGTAACGGATCTTGAATTAACTGATCACCATTGACCATTAATTATTCTATACTTATTTTTAATATCAACAAAATTAGTAAAAAAAAAATTTGATATTGTTTGTTGCGAAACTACTAAAAAATCTTGTTTTTTTTTTTCATAAAAGTACGAAACATTGACAAATCGTGAATGCTGGAAAACTGACGTATTACGATTTACAATTTAAAGTACGATATCTTTATTTAGGACAATGTGTAAATCGACTTTTTCCGATTAAAAAGAAATAGGATTCCCGGGAAGAACTGGAGAGAAGTTTCGGACGACATTTTCATAGACCACAACAGCCGCCGCCTGATGGCGGCCGGTGGGCCGCCCTAGCTAGTCGGACTGTCAAACTTTCAAATTGGCAGTTACAAGTTAATAAAAAATGTAATGATGATTAGGAGAAAATTAAGCTAATTACCACATACTATATACATATACATTATTACTCAAAAAAAAAAAAAACATACTATATACATTGGAAACGGCCAACTAGTGGTAAATGTTTTTCATAAATTTTCCAAGTCTTCATTTTTGACTCTATCTATGGACTTATAATAGTTGATATTCTTTCACTAATTTTCAAGTCTTCATTAAAATATCTTTTTATTTATTTATTTATTTAATTACCAATATGTGCCTCAAGCAATTTCAAACTATAAATAATTGAACATTACATTATTGGTAAATTAATTATTGAACATTACATTAATTATTAGGTATTTGTTGAAACATTACATTTTTGCTAAATTAACCATCGACCAATATACGAAAATTCTCGAAATTTTTAAAGATTACGAGGTCCTGCAGTGATAGTTTAGGCATACATAAAGAATATTTTAAATAACATGTAATTAATATTACATAAATATGATACAAAACGAATATATTTACCACATGAAATAGAATAATAATTAATTAATTTAGAACAATTTAGTTCAATGATTATTAGAAAATGTTGTCATAACTTGCATAACGATGACGCAAATAATAACATTATCAGAAAATAAAAAAATATATTTATTTATATTAAAAATATGAAATAATGACTGCGTCTAACAAAAGATATGATGACTTGAGAATTGCGGTCGAATAAAAGCTTAATGATTACAATTTTTACTTGGACTTAATTATAAATCTCCATGATAGCAATAATACACATACCTACCATTAGAAGTTTGATGCATTTTACTATATTACCCTTCATACTTTGTAACTTATTCAAAATCGGCCAATCTTTTTTCTCAAAATATACCATTGAGTGCTTTGCTTAATTACCTAGTTGTTTTAATCTTTTGGGGAATTTTAGAGGAGTTATTTAATTAATTATCCCATGTGTATTTCAGAGGAAAAATTGTAATTTTGGTCCTATATGTTGGCCTCTTTAGGGATTTAGTCATATAAGTTGTCTTATTTCATTTTATATGCAGTATTATGCAAAATTAGTATTTTTAGTCATATTTCACTCGAACTTTGAATTTTGGCCGTCGTTTAATGATGTATCTATCAAACTCGAATAAATTTATTTATGTGGACACTTAAAAATTGTAAATGCTCCTCTAATTTGGTTTATAGATGTGTCATATCTCATAATTAAAGCTCTACCAATGGTAAATTAGATGTCGAATTTATCAGTTACAAGCGTCCATATAAGTTAAATGTGTCAAGTTTATTTGTCGTGGCATAAAATAAAAATCATGCAAAATATGACTAAAAATACTATATTTGCAAAATTATTGCATGTAAAACTAAAACATAACAAGTTAGATGACTAAATTCCTAAATAAGCAAATATAGGGGACCAAAACTACAAATTTCACTATTTCAAATATGGATATAAATTATGTCTTCAAAGACGCCTATCGAGTTTCAACCCAAGATATTTCAGTTTACACTGATCTGACGTATGACAGTTTTATTTAACTTATATAGTTAATCATGTATAAACTAATACGATTCTGATCAATTAAATTTTATTAATTTAGCGAAAATCGAGATTAAGGCTGCAATTATATACAACATATAATTTCAAAGAAAAATATATGAGTCGTTCCACCATATGCCTAGTCAGTAATTAAGGTTTGTGTATCTCCAGATTTGTATGAACGAGTCAATAAAATGTGAACCCATCAATGATGACTCAGTACATAATGGATTGCACCACAAAATTTGCATCGGCCGTGTATGTGATTGTGTGCGCGCGTGTGTATTGTTACCTTTTTTTCAGGCTTGCAAAAAGTGGCCGAATTATTTGAATTTTATTGCATTTCGGTCTTAAAATAATTAGCAAAATTAAGTTGACTTGGAAATGGAAAAATATGCCCTGCACTCACGGCAAAAAAAAAAGAAAAAGGTTATATACTAAAATCTGGGTTACACCTCGATTATTTACACTGGATGGAATTGTACCGTATATTGAATTAAATAATTATCCACTAAGCAGATATGTAATTATGTGTAGATCCATGGTTCAAATCAAATCTGTGTAAATAACCAGGTGTAGCATCTAATTTCGAGGAAAAAAAAAAGGTAAAATGCTATTATTTAGTTGTTTTTGTACAGTAACTTTAGTGTTAATTTAGGGTCATAATTAGTTAGGAAAAAGCTAATTTTTGAATTAAGAGTGGGGTCTGGGCCATAAAATGAAGCATAAATCATGCAAATTAGAAAGAAACAAAAGGAAAAGGGATTTCAGCCTAAAAGGTGGTATATTTAGCAGAGAATCATGCACAGTGCAAATAATACCCAACAAGAAAAAGTTGAGGATAATAAATAAGAGAGCATTATATTTCCTCTTCTTAATTAATATGCTGAAAATCCGGTTACTTAATATTCGAATATGGGTCAATTGATGAGATAAGCTGATCACTTGCTCCAACCACTAGGCAATCCTTATAACGGGACGTTTATTCCGATTTATTTGTATACTAGGAGTTCATATAAGATTCTGAATTTAGGAAGAATTGTTCTTATGTTCAATACATGTTTTCTCTTTTAAGAGACTAAGGAAGATAAATTAAAATTTGGACCAAAAAAAAATTCCCAGAATGCAACAAAGAATTAGTCCCAATGCAACATAGTACAGCTGCTGCTGAAATTCAACATTTTGGACTCCATTATCTCTATCGATTTTTCCCTCTCTATATATTGACTTACGTACTGGACCCAAAAATAAAAAAAAAATAAAAAAAAAAAAAAAGAAGAAGAAAAAGAGTAAATTATATAATTGTAGTATGTCTTTGTTTTAGACAATTCTTGGATTCTTGCAAGTCATTTTCCTTAATTAAACCCCACCATGCACCACTAATTACATCTCTTTCTCTCAATTCTCTTTTGGGTTAATTTGTGGGGGGTGGGTGGGTGGTGTCATGAAATTATGAAACAATTAAAATATTGTTTCCCATAAAGACAAACCTAACCAGCATTAGTTATCATTCACACACACACACACACACACACACACACACACACACACAAAATTAATTAAAAAAAAAAAAAGAAAAATCAATATTTTTTAATTAAAGCTTTCCCACACAAAGTCCAACCACAATGATAAAATCCCATCCTAGGACATGAAAATAGACAACAATTCAACGTATGTACAAGAATATAAATTCCATTGAATATAATTAATATTTGCTCAAGCCATCTTCCTCACCTTAATTCTCTTTCTCTCTCTCCTTTTGTTTTTCCAAGAGCTGAAAGATTAAATAAAATTAATTATATGATGAGTAGTTTCTTCGAATTTCCTCTGTACTACCAGCAGCAGCAGCAAGAGCAGAATCGGAATCACGGACACGAGGAAGAATATTTTTACGAAACAATTCAATGCTTGCCTCTTCTTAGCAGGTTTACGGAGCAAAAACAATTATTCAAAGAAGAAGAAAATATCGAATACGGCGAAAAGAAATCGAGATTTCATGAAGAGACGATCGCAGTAGCTTTGCACATAGGGTTGCCTGATCAGTATAATTATTTCAAGGAAGATGAATTTAATGTGAAGACGAAGACGAATAAGAAGAAGAAGAAGAATTGTGTTAATACTAATAAAAATATTAACGGCGGGTGCATGAGTAGTACGGCTTTGAGCGGTGGCGACGAGCGCAGATTTTGGATTCCGACGCCGGCACAGATTCTCGTGGGGCCTATGCAATTTTCGTGCGACATTTGCAGCAAGACCTTCAATAGGTACAATAACATGCAGGTAATTAACTAATTCATTGATTTAATTTGATTATTTGATCTTGCCTAATTTTTGATAAATCGACGATTCGACTTAGAATAACTATCGGAAACTTTAATTTCATTCTTTGCTAGTTATATTCACATTAGCTGTTATTTTATCAAATCATATCTGTTAGTTTGTTTCACTTATTATAAAGGAACATGCTCCACATTTTTAGTTTCCAGATTTTAGGCATTTAATTATTATAGCATATGCACTTAAGCCTCGTTTGGTTGGAGAGATTAGCCATGATTAATTATTAAATAATTCGACTTTATTTGATGTATAGTAAACCCAGTAAATTCTCGAGTCGACCCGAAAATATTATGTTATACCGTACCTTTTAGGGAGATAGCTTTTTCGTTGGACCTTTCGGGATCGGACAAAATAATTGCGTTTTCATTGATTAGATTATTTAATTATCTAGGTTAATCCTATCCTCTCAACCAAACAAGCCTTAACATATTAACATTAGACAATTAATTTATTTTTTTACCCAGAACCTAATAGGCTGATATATATAGTAATTTATCATGTATATGTGTGTACATAAAATCTTACAATAACTTAGTGACGCGTCACGTGCATGGGGCATGCATGCAGATGCACATGTGGGGCCACGGTTCGGAGTTCCGAAAAGGGCCCCAATCGCTAAGGGGAACGCAGCCAACCGCCATGCTGCGGCTGCCCTGCTACTGCTGCACAGCCGGCTGCAAGAACAACATAAACCACCCACGTGGCAAGCCGCTCAAGGATTTCCGAACCCTACAAACGCACTACAAGCGCAAGCACGCTTCTCAAAAGCCCTTCCTCTGCACGAAATCCCCAACGTGCGGGAAATCGTTCGCCGTCAAGGGCGATTGGCGGACCCACGAGAAGAACTGCGGCAAGCTATGGTTCTGCACGTGCGGTTCCGACTTCAAGCACAAGCGATCCCTAAAGGACCACGTTAGGTCTTTCGGTACCGGCCACGAGGGTTGCTTCAATACCGACGAAAAAGACTGCATCACTGACGAGAGCTTCTAGCTAATTCGAAAAAAAAAATGTACGTATTAATTATGTATGTTCGTTTTGTGTTTGTGTTTGTTTTTTTGTTTGCGGAAGGTCTGGTAGATGCTGCACCAGGTGAAATAGTGACATTCAGTTAGAAAAAAAAACGCGCGTACAACCGTGTTTTTTATGCTGATGTGTGCACTTTACCGGGTGTAGCATGTATTTGATCTGATCGTTTTAGTACTATTGTTTTGCGTTTTAATTTTATAAGGTGCGTGCATATGCGCGGACTCGCCCTGCGGGTGCTCGGTAGCAAAAAATTCCTATGTAATGAGGAGAGGTTTGCTATGGATCACTGGCTAAGGTGGTGGGAGCTAGGGTGGCAAATTGTTGATTTTCATAATGTTTTTGTGGTGTTTTTTGTAATAATTAAGGAATACTATATTGTGTTGAATTTTGTGAAGCTCATGAATTTTCTTTTCTATGTTTTTTGGAAGAAAATTTGTCAGCTTTTCGAATAAATTAAATTCTTGTAATCAATATATTTATGTTTAATGCTGCACTTGATTATTTATATTTGTGGATTTGAACTTATATTTGTGGATTTGAACCGTGTATTTGATTAATTAACTAGCCACTAAACACACATAATACATATGGGTGTGTGCGTGATTGAATTTTTTTTTCTACATCAATTGAGAGGTGATGATTAAAATACAGGATTAAGTTGGAGTAGTTGAGAAAATATTAAAGCTGGCTTTATCTTTCTTTACTTGATGAGAAAATAAACACCTTTTTAATTAATTAATTAATTAGCTGTGGAGTCTTTGTGCCACAAAGGAAAAAAAGGGTAAACTTCATTTTCTCCCCTGTACTTTGGCTTGGTAACACTTTACACCCTTATATACTCAATTGCATCGATTTGCGTCCATGCACTTGAAAAATTGTCTCAATGTGGCCTCACCGTTAGTTTTAAGATATTTGACCTTAACACCGTTTGATCTAAGTCTGAAGATTACAAAAAAACACTCCTTCCAGTTTAAATAGTTATTAAAAAAATGAAAAATAAATTGTGACTGTCGTCATGGACTATGTTTTCTTGTTGTCTTGAATTATTTATTATCATTATTATCTGTTTTTTTATTTAAACCGGGAGAGGTGACGTTTTTGTAATTTCAATGCTTAAATCAAACGGTGTCAAATGTCTGACAACTAACAGTCAGGGCCACATTGAGAAAAAAATTCACGTACAGAGAGGCAAATCGATGCAATCGAAAGTATGAGAGAGGTAAAATAATATCGAGCCAAAGTACAAGGGGGAAAATTGAAATTTACCCAAGAAAAAATAATAGTAAAGAAACACGATTTCTGCTTTAATAATTAGCACTTCTTCTTCGTCAAGCGTGCGCGCCTTTTTCTCCACCAATTCCGTCATGAATTAGGGCTACGTGAATTGGGGAAGTTGGCGGACGACGTCGTTTCCATAACAAAATCAGAAAAAAAAGGAAAAAAAGAAAAACCAAATCGGAATCCTTTCCAAAATATACAATCAAGAGGAAATTCCCTTCTTCAAGAATCAACAACAAATCCTCCTCCGAACCACTTCTCATTTGATAATCCAGAAAAAGGAGAAATACGCTAGAGAGAGAGAGAAAGAAAAAAAACACGAATTCGTACAAATAATTTATGTGATCGGAGGCGATGTACAGCAGTTTCAAAGAACAAGCGATCGAGTATGCACGGAAGGCGGTTGCGGAGGACAACGCCGGAAACTACGCCAACGCCTTTCCTCTGTACATGAACGCGTTGGAGTATTTCCGTACCCATCTCAAGTACGAAAAGAACCCTAAAATTAAGGATGCCATCATGCAGAAGTTCAACGAGTATCTGCACCGGGCCGAGGAGATTCGGGCCGTGCTCGACGAGGGCGGGCCCGGACCGGCGGCGAATGGGGATGCTGCTGTGGCGGCCCGGCCCAAGACCAAGCCGAAGGATGGCAGTGATGGGGAGGATGGGGATAAGGATAAGTTTCGTGCTGGATTGAATTCCGCCATTGTTAGAGAAAAGCCTAACGTTAAGTGGAGTGATGTTGCGGGGTTAGAGAGCGCGAAGCAGGCGCTACACGAGGCCGTCGTTCTGCCTGTTCATTTTCCGCATTTTTTTACCGGTATAATTTTTCGATCAGTTGTATATATCTGTGGGTGCTCATGAATTATGTGTGTAGTATAGATAATTGTGTTTGGAGTGGTGGATTGTTTTCTGTAGGTGCTGGTATAGTGGTATGAAGCAAAAGGGTTTTACCGAATGAAATCGTATTTTTAAATACTTGTTACGAATGCACATTATTACTGTTGTCTTTTAGAACTTGCATGACAAGGAATGACGAGTCGTAAAATAACAAGGATCGCAGTGCTTCTTGATTTCCTCGACTTCATTTGTTGTCGGGAATTAAATCTCCTGTTATCAATGATTTAATCGACTAGTTACGTGTCTATGCTTATTTGCTTATCGTAGTGATGCCAGAAGTCGATGATTTTAATAAATTTATCTAACCTTATTTTAGGCAAAAGGCGCCCGTGGAGAGCTTTTCTTTTGTACGGTCCTCCTGGAACAGGAAAGTCGTACTTAGCCAAGGCTGTTGCCACGGAAACTGACTCGACTTTCTTCAGGTAACGTAAATATTTAAATTCCTAAGTGTGCTGTATAGGGGTTCAAATTAACTTGCTGAATGCTTTTTATTTGTTGTGTATAATGAATGCTGAGAGGAATCTGGTATTGCGAAGAGAGTTTTTATGTTGAGAATTAGGGAGCAACCTAGCAAGAAATCTCTGCCTTATTTATAATATATTATTTTTATGTGGAGCATGTGTCGTTTCTTTCAATTTGTTTTCATGCACTTATTCAAAGGAGTTTTGATGTGGAGCATGCATCGTTTCTTTCAATTTGTTTTCATGCACTTAATCTAAAAGAGGACACATTTTTTTCCAGAAGCTCGTTTTTAGTTGCTAGCTTTCATTTGTCATTTTTAATAATTGAGTACTTATGTTCTTTTTTCAGTATTTCTTCTTCGGACTTGGTTTCAAAGTGGATGGGTGAAAGTGAAAAGCTAGTTTCTAATCTCTTCCAAATGGCTCGTGAGAGTTCTCCCTCCATCATATTTATTGATGAAATAGATTCCCTGTGTGGCCAGCGTGGAGAAGGGAATGAGAGTGAAGCTTCGAGACGAATCAAAACAGAATTGCTGGTCCAGATGCAGGTAAGATTTAAAGTGACAGATGGTTGGAGCCATATCTTAGTTATCTGTTCATTTACTTTGTTTATTTCTATGTATATTGGTTCATTCTCTGTTTCGTTCGTTTCTTTTTCCTTCTGTAATATCTGGTTCCATTGTTTTGCATGTATTTGTTCTATCTTTGAATTGGATATGTTTTCCTGCTTATGGGGCTACTATTCGAAACCGGAATGTCATTAAATATGCTTCTTTCCTTTGGTTTTGTTGCTTTTCAATTAAACCAGTTTCATGTATCTGTTCGCTTATCTGATGTGGCCGTACATACTCGAATTTGTTTGATTGCGATGTTTCTTTAACTGGTTCATTAGAGCGAATGAGCAGAAATCCATAGCATGTGTTTTCAAGACATGATCAAATCATCTCTTTATTGGTCGTTTATGATTGCCACCTTCTACTCATTCAATTTGAACGATGTGTTTGGATTTATAGTAATTCCTGCTCCTTTACAGATACTTGTTTTTGTCATTTAGAAATATATTGATTCTCCAAATAGATTAGTTGACTTCTTAATCACAGTTGTCTTTTCTTTTTTATGGCCATGCAATATTATATATATTTATCAACACTGTGAAAACTAAATTATTACTATTTTTCTCTTTGTAATATGATTGTTCAGGGGGTGGGTCACAGTGATGATAAAGTTCTTGTTCTTGCTGCGACGAATACCCCATATGCACTTGATCAGGTAACCGTAACATCGAATTCAAATTAATCAAAACGTGGGCTGTGATAATTTTTGGCTAACGGAAGTTTTCTCTTTAGGCCATTCGGCGACGATTTGACAAGCGCATTTACATTCCTCTCCCCGACGTGAAGGCACGTCAACAGATGTTCAAAGTATGGAGCTTGTATTACATATTATGTTCAAAAGAAGGGGAAGAAAATTAATAATTCGAAGTGAAATATATTCTCATTTGGCTTGCTATTCTTGTTCAGGTGCATTTAGGAGATACCCCTCATAACTTGACTGAAAGTGATTATGAAGTCCTAGCTCGTAAAACCGAAGGTTTTTCTGGTTCGGACATTGCTGTTTGTGTAAGAATTTAAATTATTTATCTACTGATTTATTTTTAAATCGGGGACTTTTTTTTTTAGATTGTGTAGCATACTCATCCGCACCCTAATACAGCTTCCTTGTGACCTGATAATGTTTCTTCTATTTCTTCGATAGGTCAAGGATGTCTTATTTGAGCCTGTACGTAAAACACAAGATGCCATGTTTTTCATCGAGAACTCTAATGGTATGTGGGTGCCTTGTGGGTCCAAGCAATATTCAGGTGCTGTCCAGATATCCATGCTCGAGCTTGCTGCACAAGGACTGGCTGCAAAGGTATTGATTTGATATATACACTGGTTGCAATCTTGTATAGAAATCTTGTAATAGAAATCTGAATTAATGTAATAATATTGAGAGGCACATGATGGTTAAATTCAAGTAATAACTAAGAAAAGTCTCGACACGTAATAGAACAATGATCGATTGGAGCTACTGCTTCTAACAAGTGATTGATGCCTCTGTAGATTCTTCCACCTCCGATATCAAGAAGAGACTTTGATAAGGTGCTCGCACGACAGAGACCAACAGTTAGTAAATCTGACCTCAATGTGCATGAGAGATTTACAAAGGAGTTTGGCGAGGAAGGCTGACGAAACTTGAGGCACAAGCTTTGGTGCCGTTTTTATTTTAGCAGGAAGGTAATCTAACTTCTTTTTTTTTTTTCTTTTCGTATTTTCTTCCAATATTGAGCAGGAAAACGAGCCAACGCTTGTATTTATTACTGTGTACAATACTCAACTGTTCATGAGGAATATTGTTAATATGATATACGCTCTTTCTAAGCTGGTATATCAATTTTGCAATAAATGAGTCTCGGTTTAGTATTTTTGTCTGAAGCAAGATTATTTCTTCAATCTATCTGCTCGTTTAGTTACTATCTTCTCGTTTTCTCTCGTGAAGGTGATGTATGAGTTTTTGCTTCCTAAATCATACATAGATTGATCGAGTTAAACATGTTTGTCGAAGTCGATGAATTTTCACTCGTGTTTTATTATAGTTTCAATATCGGAAGATGATAAAGAGAAGTAGCACACACAATCACACATCTTGTGAATTTATTTTCATCACACACATACTATATATATATATATATATATATATATATATATATATATATATATATATATATATATATATATATATATATATATATA